TTATAAAAGAAACAGGAGCTATTACCAGCAGAAACAACATACTGTTCAGAACAGATAACATGCGAATCGGTCAGGTTTCGCAACCACGTAACTAAAATCAATGCATTCTTAATGGGTTTTTAATGTACTTTGTAAAACAGACCTAATCTCTAATCACATACCCTAGAAGAATGACATTTAAGTCCATGGTGTTTTAACGTACGCTTAGTGTTACTTATATTCCCAGATGAGTTAGTTGGCTTCTGTGAAACAGCTTCCTGGTTGATAATACAATAAAATCTATTCATTCTCATAGCAGTCAATATTAAGATGCGAGATGGCCTACTAATGAACCACATATGCATAAATATTACGTCTAATAAACTAATTCTGCCAATCTATGTTTGGTATTCGCCAATTACTGTTTATTAAGTGATCATCTCTGACAACAAAGCCACGAAACTGGATACAGGTGTTTTGTATATGTAATTAGTGTAACGACAGTAGGCAAATGAATAATTAGGCCTGTTCACAGAACGAAAAAGTACCAATGAAGTGATAAAAGTCGAAAATACACGGAATTCGTCATTTTTGTAAGACTTTTACACTTAATGAAAATGTGTTGAGTTGAAAATTATATAAATTATTTTCGTTTGGAACTTGTTCTTAACTTACTTTTTTTATTTAGATTATAAAATCAACTTAGAATGAACACTGTTATCACTTAATTTATTTTTCTTAATCTCTAATTTTAGGGAAATGATTATCATTCTTGGGAATTTTCCGTGTCAGAAACGCGAACTATGATTAAAAACCATGAAATAACAGTTTAGGCTTAGAACAGTTAAATATTTGGACAGGCCTTACATTTAGTGTTTGCATAATTAAGGTAATTATTAGTAATTTCCAACCAAAATTGTGTTATTAACTATATGAATTGGATGGAGCTAAAAAGAGCAGTTTCAAATTGTTGAAAGCGATCCTCTGTAATTACATTCTGAGTAGTAATACTAAATATCATATGTTATTTTTGTCGTTATTGGTTTTAGAAAGGAAACTGAAACCAATAACGACTAAAACAAATTAAATCATCATCTGTGTACCCTCGCTTTTAACGATATTTTCAGCTGTATCCCTCCTCCTCTTCAGTAATATCACACGAGGTTCGGCCAGTTTAAAATATTTAGATTAATTCTAAGTCCACATAATAAGTCAATACTGTAAAATAATTCTTATAAAGATAATATTTATTAAAAAAATATGTTTCCAAATAATTTAACCAATAAAGATTAATGAAAGTCAATATAAGGCTTAATGGAATACGTTTCTTGCCATTAATTAAGATCCATACATACAGTACTGGGCAAAAGTGTTAGGACAAAGTCAAAAATTAGATTTCAAGCTACTTTCAAAAAACAACATGTGAAATATCAAAATGTTATTAATATTAATATTTAGTACAACAGAAACTCAATGGAGTTCAGCAACCAGTTGATAGTTTGTATGTCCCACTTTTGCTTTAATAACTGTAGACAACTTTGAGGCATTCTTTGCGATTTTATTCCAAATGTCTCTAATAAAGATTCTTTGGAAGTAACTTTTGATTTTTCAAGATTTTGATCTATGGAATCCCAGATCTGCTTAATTGGGTTGAGATTGGAGCTCTATGGGGGAGATTTCATTATTTGAATGACTCCAACAGTTCCTTTCTTAGTTAAATAATTTCTGCGTAGGTTAGATGAAAATTTGAGGTTATTATCTTCTTGGTAGTAGAATCCTTTACCAATAACACACAAACCACTGGGTATACCATAAGGGATCATTATCTGATGGTACTTGCGCTGGTCCATTATTCCATCTATTTCGTAAATATCTTCTGTCGCCTCAGAATATCCTCCACAAACCATCACACTGCCTCCCCCATGCTACATAGTAGGTGCTATGCATTGAGGTAAGTATCGTTCACCATTCTTCCGCCGGACGCACAACCTACGCTTTAAACCAGATATTTCAAAATTGGACTCATCCGTCCATAACACCCCTTTTCCAATCATCAGCAGTCCAGTTTTTGTACTTTTTAGCAAATTTCAGTCTCTTGACAATATTTGGCGATCAAAGTAAAGATTTTTTTTTAACTGTTACACAACCAAATATTACATTCTCATTGATTCTCCTTGATACTGTAGATCTGGACACTTTTCTGCCATTTGTTACATGGTTGTTTATCTCTTGCTTGAGATCAGTGGCAGTCTTCCTTCTGTTCTGAAGGCTGCATAAATGAAGATACTTAACATCAATATCATTGAATTTAGATGTTCTGCCTCTTCCATTCTCATTTTCAAATTTACCTGTCTCGGCCTCACGATCTAGGGTGTATTTGACAGTGTTTGGGGAGCATTTTAAATCTGCAGCAATTCGTCGGAGAGTTCAACCAGCATCATGTAAAGCTTTTATGCGAACTCTCTGCTCTACTGACAATTCTCTACGCTTTTTTTTTGGGCCGTTGCATGACAACAAAACTTAATATATAGTGTTAAACACTGTTTTTATCAAGATTTGTGGAGTGTTATTAAATTGATTTCTTCTACCATATACCGGTACCATATGCTAGTTCCTTGCTAGCTTCTTTCTATATAGTTAAGATACTGCATGGGGAACCATGACAGTTATTTCAGACCCTAAATTCGATCAGTATGTTCATTCAAGCAGAACCCTTATGACATGCCCTTGGTACAAATATATGGGAATTCCAAAGAATTATAAGTATTCTCATTCTGGCTCATTCAATTGTCAACAGGGATTAGTGAAGCATTACCATGGTGTTGAAATTGACATTCTTTTGTGGCATGGAAGAATTAGCCCCATAAATGGAAAGAATGACAAAATATTATCTTGTCTTAACACTTTTGAACAGTACTCTACACGAAATATTTATCTAATTACAATCTGTTGCGTTAACTATTCATTCTTTTACAATTCTTTCTTATTACAGCAAGTGACCAATGAAAACTCATTTTTTAACACTAACTGTAACTTGAAATAGTTTGACATTAAAGATAAATAGCTTCCGGCTAATGTTATGAACAAAGTCAATCGGTAAAGCCCAAATTCTTGCATACGAATAATGTGTATGTCTATGTAATAGAATATTGGTCCATTAAGTTGCGATACGTAACACCATAATTAAATTAACTAAAGTAAAGTAATAAAGAGAAGTTATGAAACTGAAGTATAAAGAAAACTATAGAGAGGCATTAGTCGTAGACATTAGCCATTGATGAAAACTGTAAGAAAATGAAGCTTAATCATGCACTTAATCTATAGTTATATTGGAGAGATAGAATTACATTTAATAATTTATAAATAAATTATTCGTATGCTTCTTAAGTATTTCAGCGCTATTAATACTAGAAATAAACGACCTTATAACACCAAAATGTTGTTTTTATTTCATTTGAATCATTTAAACCATTTGAAGATTTGTACTGTCAGTTTCGGTTTGTGTTTTAGTGAACACTCCTGAAGAAGCTGTAAAGCGAAACGTTGAGTGTTCAATGAAACAAAAACAACATTTTGGTGTTATAAGGTCGTTTATTTCTAGTATTAATATGTCTTCTATACACCAATATGCACAACAGAGATTAAATAATGAGATTTCGGCGCAATGTTAGATTTCTTCAAAAAGAAAATATCAGCTTCCTTTTGTTAAAAGAGAAATACGTGCAGTGGTTGAAATATAAGATAAAAAGCAATTTAAGTAACTTGAGATAACTCTTAGACACAACCAATTAATCTAGGGTTACTAACGTCTGGTGGGTAAACTTTGCAATGTCACATTCTGATTTGTCGTGTATTATGCTAAAGAAATAGTTTTGTTTGTTAACTTTGTAGTGTTTTATCACATCTTGTTTTCTCATGTTTTTAACAAACAAACATATTCTGGTGTGTAGCCTTTACAGTTTTA